GTACGTAAACACTGCCATAAATTCACCTGTCCGAAACACTGCCATAAGTTCACTTGTATGTAAACACCCCTGATAAGTTCACCTGTCCGTAAACACTCACATACGTTCACCAGTATCTAAACACTTCCATAAGTTCACCCTTACGTAAACACTGCCTTTAAGTTCACCTGTCCGTAAACACTCACATAAGTTCACCTGTATGTAAACACTGCCATAAGTTCACCCGTACGTAAACATTATCAATATTTCATAAAAACATTATATTCGTGATAAGAATGTTGAATATTTTGCTAAAAGAATTCACCTATAAACAAGATCAACATTGAATATTAATGTTGAGAATGTTGATCACTTGAACTAACAATATGCGGTAAATGTCTCTTCATTAACGACAATGTATAATGTTCTTGTTCCGGTAATTATTTGGTATTCAAAACAATAATAACAACAAATATAATAATAATATTAATATAATACAAATAATAAAGTAAAAAATGTAATAATAATAATAATAATAATAACAATAATAATAATAATAATAATAATAATAATAATAATAATAATAATAATAATAATAAAATAATAAAATAATATTATATTATAATAATTATAATAATAATAATCGTCCACCACCCGAGCGCCACATTTCACCAGACCAGCGTCATAGTTCAGTAGAACCGTGACACAGGGTTGAATTTCGCCCACACCTTTAATATAATTCATGTGCTGTGTGTGGCATGATGCCTTCTGTACTGCAAGACTGACCGGTTAGAACAAAGTCTGCCACCGGATATTTTATGTTTTCATCAGGAGCCAGACAGAGATAGACAGAGGGAGAGTGAGTGTGCGTGAATTATGTAAACAGCAGCGGTATAGTTTGTTGGAGACGAGGTGTTGTGAGTCTCTCTCTCTCTCTCTCTCTCCTACAAGTGTAAACATTTAACTAAGGGATGTCAAATATAAAGATGAACTTGATCAGATATCATAATAAATGCCGGCAATAATAATACACACACAAATATATAAATAAAAACACCATGGCGCATTAACGTCTGAAACAAATGACGAACTGGGCGGGGTGAGGCGGGGCGGAGGGGCGGGAGGGTGGGGTGGGTGGGTGGGGCGGGTGGGGAGGGGCGGGGCGGGGCTGGGTTGTAATTATTAACACCACACGACTGCAGGTTCTTCTATCACTCTACGGTCGCTTACATGAAAGTCTGTGACGATGGCAAGAATAAATGATACTTTTAGTTTGTGTTATTTTATATTTGACTGATCAACATGGAAGAAGGGTACTGTAGTTGGATGTGTAAAATGATAAATAGGTAAGATGAGAAGGTGAATAGGGGAGAGAGAGAGTGAGGTAGTAGTAGTAGAACGACAAGATTAGGCCATACGGGAGAGAATTCAGAACGTTGATCAAGGCAGCTTCATTCCTCTAGTGTTCACAACCTCTGGTGGGATGGGACCAAGTGCAAGATGCTTCTACCCCAGACTCGCGGAGGTGCTATCCGAACAGAAGCAGCAGCCCAGAAGTTATGTTATAGCCTGGATGAGATGTCGACTGTCCTTCTTCTACTTAGGTCGGCTTTCCTCTGCCTCAGGAAAACGAGAGCATCAGCCCCAAAGCCGACAACGGTTGCAGATATTGACTATGAGGCTACAGTTACTGAATGCCGCATAGATCTGCGGCTCAACTAATACACAATAAATTTTGAAACAACTGAGGTCAAACAAGTGGCGTACGCTGATGACCTTACAGGAGCAGGAAGAATGGAGGACATCAAAAGTGGTGAGACCTGGTAACATCACGAGGCCCACAAATAGGGCACCACCCAAACGCCAGCAAGGCCTTCCCCAGAACATTATGAACGGGCAATGGTGGTGTTCGTGGAAGTGAGGTCAAAATAACAAAGGATGGCCAAAGACACCTAGGCGCAGTAATAGGCACGACGGACTTCAAGACCAAGTACGTAACGGAAAGGTGAATGAGTGGGTTAGGGAAATCCGCTCTGTCTGAGATTGCCAACACAGAGCCACATGCTTTTGCAGCATTCACCCATGGAGTCAAGCATCGCTGGAACTACCTAATGCGCACTATCCCTGATATCGGATCCTCCTCTATCCCCTGGAAGAAGCTATCAGCGTCAATTTCATTCCCAAATTAGTGAAACACCCCACTTAACCCCAGCGGAAAGATCACCTTGCACAATGCACTATCACCGAGACTGGGATGAATGGGACTGACCAATCCAGAGGAGAGATTGCTGCCACCAAACATCAAAACTCAGTTAAGCTCACCGCAGCCCTCACGGACCACATAATAGCTCAGAACGCAACAGGAGGTGGATACCAGTGAAGTAAACAAGATTCGAAGGTCCATTACGACAAAACGACAGCACGGCCAGTGATAAGTTGCAGCAACCGTTGCTGCAAGTACCAGAGAATTTGAAGAAAAAAGTAGATATAGCGCAGGAGGGCGCCTCGAACTGGTTAACTATGTTACCGATAAGGCAAATGGTTTCAGTCTCAATAAACAAGAATTTACAGATGCCAATGCTCTAAGGTAAGGTAGGCCAGTAGAAGGGTTCCTCCCAATGTGTGTGTGGCTCTTCCTATGACGTCGATCACACCATGGTGTGCAAGAAAGGAGGCTTCATATGCATGAGGCATGACGAGGTAAGGGATCTCACAGCAAATATGTTGAAGGAAATTTGCCGTGATGTCAGGGAAAACCAACCCTCCTTCCATTGGACGGTGAGATTTTCCAACATAGGACTTCAAACACATCCAACGAAGCCCGTGTTGACGTGTTGTATTTGTGTTAATAGTAGTGGTAGTTACAGAATAAAACATTTGTATACATATTTATTCTTTTCCTACACACAGTTCATTAGCATCATAACACCTGATGATAATATTCTATATTTATTATTATAAACTGTATTGTGTACTTATCAAGCTCTTCGTCTTCCCTTGTTTATCATTTTTCTTAATTATCTTTATTTCCTATCCCCTTTTTGTGTACGTATGGGGTGGTGGTGGGCGTTGATGATTACCTGTACGTTCTTTCGTCCGTTTGTCCGTTCGTAATTATGTTTACCTCCATTTTTCAATTTCAATTTCAATTGTTTATTCCTTGATAAAGGAAGAGGGATCCTAGTGCTGTCACTAGATTCCTGTAATGACAAGCAGACATCTGGCATGTGTCGCAAGTATATACAGTATAAATATTATAAAGGGGCTTACTAAAGCCATAAGGAAGGACATTCTTAGCCAACAAGAGACACTAGCCTAGCAAAGACATTCTTACCTAAGAAGGACATTAAACAAAGGACATTTTAGCCTAAGCAAGGAAGGACATTCTTTAACATAATATCAATATTATTTACATAATATAATAAGTGTCTAACATAGAGGACTAAACACTATTATGGTCTTCGTATTTTATTGAAAAGATAAAATGGTATTCAGGTGTTTCTTTATATTTTTACTGTTTATTTTCTGAAATTTTCTCATGACATTTTGCTGCTAGGAGGAGGAGAGAGAGAGAGAGAGAGAGAGAGAGAGAGAGAGAGAGAGAGAGAGAGAGAGAGAGAGAGAGAGAGAGAGAGAGAGAGATTCAGTATATTTATAATTTCACTCATATTATTCTTTTAGGTTTCATTTAGAGAACGAAAAAGAAATACATGAAAAGAGTGTGTGTGTGTGTGTGTGTGTGTGTGTGTGTGTGTGTGTGTGTGTGTGTGTGTGTGTGTGTGTAAGCGCTTGACTGGGGTATGTTTTATTTATATATTTTTATCTTTCCATAAAAATCCCAGAGGTGCAGATGGCCAACTCTTCACTCGGGTACAACTGAAAAAACTAAAAAAAACCGATTAATAAAAAGCGATTAAAAATAACTATAGAATCATTCATAGTTGTTTGATGTTGAAGTTATAAAAACATACAACAATATAATCAGAAAAGATATATTATTACCAAGCTGTTTTTTTATTACAGGTATGTAAATTAGATGAAGGGTAATGATGGTGGGAGTTACGGTAAGGGATCTATTAGGTGTTGACGTGGCAGGTGAGGCTTTATAGGGTGGACAGGTGTGGGGGCAAGGTTGTGACAGGTGTGGGGCAAGGTTGTGACAGGTGTGGGGGCAAGGTTGTGACAGGTGTGGGAGCAAGGTTGTGACAGGTGTGGGGGCAAGGTTATGACAGGTGGGGGCAAGGTCGTGACAGGTGTGGAGGTAAGGCTGTGACAGGTATGGGGGCAAGGCTGTAACAGGTATGGAGGCAAGGTTATGACAGGTGTGGGGGCAAGGTCGTGACAGGTGTGGAGGTAAGGCTGTGACAGGTATGGGGGCAAGGTTATGACAGGTGTGGGGGGGTAAGGTTGTGACAGGTGTGGGGGCAAGGTCGTGACAGGTGTGGAGGTAAGGCTGTGACAGGTATGGGGGCAAGGTTGTGACAGGTATGGAGGCAAGGTTATGACAGGTGTGGGGCAAGATTGTGACAGGTGTGGAGGTAAGGCTGTGACAGGTATAAAGGTTGACAGGTGTGGGGTAAGGCTGGACAGGTGTGGGGCAAGGTCGACAGGTGGAGGTAAGGCCAGACAGGTATGGGGGCAAGTGTGACAGGTATGGAGGCAAGGTTATGACAGGTGGGGCAAGATTGTGACAGGTGTGAAGGCAAGGTCGTGACAGGTGTAGAGGTGAGGCCCTGACAGGCTGAAGATGAGGTCATGACAAGTGTGGAGATGAGGTCGTGACAGATGTGGAGAAGAGGTCGTAACCGGTGTGGAGGCGAGGTCATGGCGGTGTGGAGAACAGGTCGTGGCGGTGTGGAGATGAGATCGTGACAGGTGTGGAGGCGAGGTCGTGGTGGTGTGGAGATGAGGTGTGACAGGTGTGGAGGCGAGGCCCTGATTGGTGTGGAGAAGAGTTCATGGCGGTGTGGAGATGAGGTCGACAGATGTGGAGAAGAGGTCGTAACCGGTGGGAGGCGAGGTCATGGCGGTGTGGAGAACAGGTCGTGGCGGTGTGGAGATGAGGTCGTGACAGTGTGTGGAGCGAGGTCGTGGTGGTGTGGAGATGAGGTCGTGACAGGTGCGGAGGCGAGGTCGTGGTGGTGTGGAGATGAGGTCGTGACAGGTGTGGAGGCGAGGCCCTGAAGGTGTGGATGAGAGGTCGTGACAGGTGTGGAGAGAAGCCCTGACAGGTGTGGAGAAGAGGTCGGTGGGTGTGGAGATGAGGTCGTGACAGGTGTGGAGGCGAGGCCCTGATTGGTGTGAGAAGAGTTCATGGCGGTGTGGAGATGAGGTCGTGACAGGTGTGGAGGCGAGTCGTGGTGGTGTGGAGATGAGGTCGTGACAGGTGTGGAGGCGAGGCCCTGACAGGTGTGGATGAGAGGTCGTGACAGGTGTGGAGAGTAAGCCCTGACAGGTGGAGAGAGAGGTCGTGGCGGTGGAGATGAGGTCGTGACAGGTGTGGAGGCGAGGTCGTGGTGGTGTGGAGATGAGGTCGTGATAGATGTGGAGGCGAGGCCCTGACAGGTGTGGAGGCAGGAGACGTTCAGGTATCCTTCTGGGAGATGTAAATTGATGATCATTCCGATAAAACAGAAAATGGTGACTTGAAGAGAAAACAGGTCACTAGGTGATTAGATACCCAACTTATTTTACCTGGTGATTGAAACCCCTAACCAAACCTAACAAACCAGTTAACATATCCTAACATAATCAACTTAACCTAACCCAACGTAAACCTAGTCTAAATTAACATAACGTAAGCCAACTTAACCTGACCTAACCCATTGCTAACCTAGTCTAACTCAACATAACCTAACATAGCCTAACCTAACCCAACGCACACCTAACCTAACCCAGCGAAGAGACAGGCGAGTGTATTGACTGTAGGAACCTTACCGAGACAACGAATATAGATAAACAAAGGAGAATCAACAACAAAAAAAACAAAAAATCATGAAAAATAGTTCGTGTCGTTGACTAAAGAAAACAAAAATTATGAAATGGTGTCAAAAATCAAGGGAAAGCGAGACGTATCTTATTAAGTGGTCAATATCGATAAGAAAGCGACTTAAACAGACAATAACTTGAACGACCCAACCCAACCCTCAAGACGAAGATATAAACCGTAAATTATTTATTTTCACCACACGAGACACCATCAGAGTAAAGATGATAAAAAAAAGAATGATGACCTGTACATGTTGTGGAAAAGAATAAGAAGAAAACGAAAGAAAGTGAAATAGTCGATACACAGTGAAGATGAAACACCATGGATCTTGTAGTGATGTTTGTGGTGTTTCTCTCACACAGCTAGACTAAGACAAACAAGTTAAAACCCACAGAATCGATTTTAATATATCATTTATCCCAAACGTGCACGAGCGACGGAACCAACATGGTGGTGGTGGTGTGTCAAGGTCGATCCGGGACATCTACGGATAAACCAACCCGACAATACTTGACCTTATTTGACACAATAGAGACAGCTGACCGTGTACCAAGATGGCTGAGAGAGAGAGAGAGAGAGAGAGAGAAAAAAAAAAAAAAAAAAAAAAAAAAAAAAAAAAGAGAGAGAAGAAGAGAGAGAGAGAGAGAGAGAGAGAGAGCTATTCTGGTGGTAAGGTACAGGACGACAGAAAACCTAGGAGACTGACTGAGAAAGACTGAGAGAGACTGACTGAGAGAGACTGAGAGAGGTATAATATGAAGTTTGACGGACGTTCGTGTGACTTGTGTTGTCATGGTGATGGTTTACGTGTGGTGGTGTAGGAGGAGGAGGAGGATATCAGAGGTGTTTTCTACTAAGTGTTCCGTGTTGCGTTATGTGTGTTGCTAGAGGATATCAAGTGTGTTTCAACCAAGTGTTTTGTGTTGTTATTGTGTTCTGTGTGTTGCTTGAGGTGTAGGAGAGATATCAGTGGTGTTTCTACTAAGTGTTCCGTGTGTTGCTAGAGGATATCAAGTGTGTTTCAAATAAGTGTTTTGTGTTTATATAGTGGAAAGAGAGAGAGAGAGAGAGAGAGAGCCCTATTAAAATAAAATAAATGAAAGAAGAGAATGAAAGTTGAAGAAGCAAAACAAGAGAGAAGGAAGGAAGGAAGGATGGGGAGGTATATTCATGATACAAGAAGACAAAGAAGAAGAAGGAGAAGGAATAGATGAAGGAAGAAGAAGCAATGAAGAAGGAAGAAAACGAAGAAATAAAATGAGAAGAAAAAAAGAAGAACAAAGGATGAAGAAGAAGAAGAAATCAAGATGAGAAGAGAACACAGCAGTAAAGGGAAGGAGGGAAAGAAAATTAGAATAACAGGATATAATGTTTAGCAGAGAAGAACTGAGAAGGAAGAACAAACTCAGGAAGGAAGGATGGCACCAGAATAGGATGGATAATGAAGGCAGATTCCCCGAAGGAAGGCTTCAATTACAGCATAGAGAAGGATGTTGATGAGGAAACCTGGGAAGGAAGCAGGGAGGAGGAAGAAGAAGGAAGGAGGTGGAAAGAAGAAGGAGGGTAGGAAGAAAAGGGAAGAAGGAGGAGGGTAGGGAGGAAAGGAAGGAATGAGGGAGGAAGAGGAGGTAAATGAGAAGGAGGAAAGGAGGAAGGGGGAGGTAGAGAAGGAAAAGGAAGGAAAGAAGAGATGAAGTAAGGAAACTTGATATCTATGTCAAGAAGTAGACGACTCACTCGGGATGGGGTGAGAATAGGTGTTACACTCCCAAATAAAAAAAATAATATATGAAGATGAAGAAGCATATGTAAGGATGATAAATCAAGGAGAAGGAGAGATAACAGAAGAATATGTACGAATATAACAATAATAATAATAATAAAAAAAAAAAAAAAAAAAATAATAATAACAACAGTTTATATATATGATTTTGTTTATCTTTGAATATTAGCCTAATCGCCCACTGATGGTTAAACACCTAATGGTAATATACCTTGGGGTTAGGTTAGGGTTATGACAAGTTAGGTTAGGTGGTAGTTAGATTATGTCAGATTATGTTAAGTTAGGTTCGGTTAAATAAGACTGCTTACGATAGGTTAACGTTAAGGTGTTCAGCTTCAGGTGAAATAAGCTGAGGTGTCTTAATCTTCTTCAGGTAATCCAACAGCATTTTATATCAAGCTCAGAACTAGAAGGAGGAATAATCCAACAAGATGTTCATCATTATATAGACACACCCAAATTATCTCGACGCAGGAACCAAAGGAATGAAAAAGGAAGAAAAAAGTTTGATGTAAAAATTATTGTCTTGTTTGAGGAGGTAAATAATGGTTAAGTTCTCAGGGGTTCAGAATGTTTCAAAATTTAGCGTGTTCCAGTTTGTAGCGTTCGGGGTGTTGAGGTAAGGGGAGGTAACGGGCAGGGGGTAGGGGAAGGAGGGGAAGGGTAGTGGAGGGGCAGGAAGAAGGAGAGTTAGGAGGAAGTTAAGGGGGGAGGAGAGGGACAGGGGGTAAAGAGGGTGGGGGAGGAAGAAGAGGAGGGTGAGAGAGCTGAGGGGGGGCAGAAGGAGGAAAAGGAGGATAGTTAGTGGAGAGGGAAGGGCAGGAAGAAGGAAGAGGGATAAGAAGGAGGTGAAGGTGGAAGAAAGGACAGAAAGAAAGGAAGAGGGATGGGAAGAGAAGGAGGGAAGAGGGGAGAGTTAGAGGTGAGGGAGGGAGGGAGGAGCAGAGGGAGAGTTAGAGGTGAGGGAGGGAGGAGGAGCAGGAGAAGGAAGAGGGGGAGAGTCAGAGGTGAGGAGGGAGGGGAGGAGCAGGAGAAGGGAAGAGGGGGGGAGAGTCAGAGGTGAGGGAGGGAGGGAGGGGAGGAGCAGGGAGAAGGAAGAGGAGGAGAGTCAGAGGTGAGGAGGGAGGGGAGGAGCAGGAGAAGGAAGAGGGGGGAGAGAGGAGGTGAGGGAGGAGGGGAGGAGCAGGAGAAGGAAGAGGGGGAGAGTTAGAGGTGAGGGAGGGAGGAGGGGAGGACAGGAGAAGGAAGAGGGGAGAGTGGAGGTGAGGGAGGGAGGGGAGGAGCAGGAGAAGGAAAGGGGGGGAGAGTCAGAGGGAGGGAGGGAGGGGAGGACAGGGAGAAGGGAAGAGGGGGGAGAGCAGAGGTGAGGAGGAGGAGGAGCAGGGAGAAGGGAAGAGGGGAGTAGAGGTGAGGAGGATGGAGGGGGAGGAGTAGGAGAAGGGAAGAGGGAGGAGAGCAGAGGAGGGAGGAGGGAGGAGCAGGAGAAGGGAAGAGGGAGAGTTAGAGGTGAGGGAGGGAGGGGAGGAGCAGGAGAAGGAAGAGGGGGAGAGTCAGAGGTGAGGGAGGAGGGAGGAGCAGGAGAAGGGAAGAGGGGGAGAGTAGAGGTGAGGAGGGATGGAGGGGAGGAGCAGGAGAAGGAAGAGGGAGGAGAGTCAGAGGTGAGGGAGGGAGGGGAGGAGCAGGGAGAAGGGAAGAGGGGGGAGAGTTAGGTGAGGGAGGGAGGAGGAGCAGGAGAAGGGAAGAGGGGGGAGAGTTAGGAGGAGGGAGGGGAGGAGGGGAGGAGCAGGAGAAGGAAGAGGGAGGAGAGTCAGAGGTGAGGGAGGGAGGGGAGGAGCAGGGAGAAGGGAAGAGGGGGGAGAGTTAGAGGTGAGGGAGGAGGAGGAGCAGGGAGAAGGAAGAGGGGGGAGAGTTAGGAGGTGAGGGAGGAGGGAGGGAGGAGCAGGAGAAGGGAAGAGGGGGGGGAGAGTTAGAGGTGAGGGAGGGAGGGAGGAGCAGGAGAAGGAAGAGGGGAGAAAGGAGGTGAGGGAGGGAGGGAGGAGCAGGGAGAAGGGAAGAGGGGGAGAGCAGGAGGTGAGGAGGAGGGAGGGGAGGAGCAGGGAGAAGGGAAGAGGGAGGAGAGTCAGAGGTGAGGGGAGGGAGGGAGGAGCAGGAGAAGGGAAGAGGGGGGAGAGTTAGAGGTGAGGAGGGAGGGGAGGAGCAGGGAGAAGGGAAGAGGGGGGAGAGTTAGAGGAGGAGGGAGGGAGGGAGGAGCAGGAGAAGGAAGAGGGGAGGAGAGCAGAGGTGAGGGAGGGAGGGAGGAGCAGGAGAAGGAAGAGGGGGAGAGTTAGAGGTGAGGGAGGGAGGAGGAGCAGGGAGAAGGAAGAGGGGAGAGTTAGGAGGTGAGGGGAGGGAGGGAGGGGAGGAGCAGGGAGAAGGAAGAAGGGGGAGGAGTCAGAGGTGAGGAGGGAGGGAGGGGAGGCAGGAGAAGGGAAGAGGGGGAGAGTAGAGGTGAGGAGGAGGAGGGAGGAGCAGGGAGAAGAGGGGGGAGAGAGGTGAGGGAGGGAGGGAGGAGCAGGAGAAGGGAAGAGGGGGAGAGAGAGGTGAGGGAGGGAGGGAGGGAGGAGCAGGAGAAGGAAGAGGGGGGAGAGTTAGAGGTGAGGGAGGAGGGAGGAGCAGGAGAAGGGAAGAGGGGGGAGAGCAGAGGTGAGGGAGGGAGGGAGGAGCAGGAGAAGGAAGAGGGGGGGAGAGTTAGAGGTGAGGGAGGGAGGGAGGGGAGGAGCAGGAGAAGGAAGAGGGAGGGAGAGTCAGAGGTGAGGGAGGGAGGAGGAGCAGGAGAAGGAAGAGGGGGAGAGTTAGAGGTGAGGGAGGGA